ATTAAAATTTTGTATGATTCATATACTCGGTATCATTTTTCTCAATACAATATGAAATTTAACCTCACATTTTTATTACTCTCTCTGTCCCAAAAACAGAGTCACTGTTCATGTTTTAAAAATCAAGAAAATTTTGTTTTATTTATACATTTTCGTATTTGATAAAATAAAATACCTTAGTCACATCTTATTTTAAGATTTTTTGACATAGTTTTTAAATATGTAAATTTTATTTTTAAGTTCTATATCAATCTTTAAATAAAATATATTGAAAAAACTTTGAATTTCACTTTGTTTTGCATAATATGACAAATATTTTAGGATGCATGGAAAATTGTTTTTAGATTTTCGTGAGATAATTAAATTTAGAAGAATTTACCTAAATAGGACTAAAACATACAGAGTAATGATTTTCTCAATATAGAACCATATGTTTTTATTTTTCCTAATGTAAGATTGTTGGTCATTATCCATTAATCATTATTTGAATTATTCGAGTAAATGTCAACCAAAACTGGACATTATTCCTCCCACTAGATATTATTAAGTCCTATTTAAAAAATAAAAAAGTTTAAGTCCTACATTGAAAAATGATTATGTTTTAGTTATATTTAGTGCAAATTTTTCTAAAGTTTAATGTGAATTTAATTTAGGGGGGAGGGAGAACAATATTTTTGGAAATTTTAAAGCCAATTAAAAACGATTACCGAACCATTCTTAAATACTTAGATACTGAAATCCGTTAAGTGGATCATGAGTAATAACAATAGGTTATTAAGATCAAAAGAAATTAATTATTAGGAGAGAAATGGAAGCAACAAATATAGTGAGATCTTGATGGCTTGGGGATTCTCTCCATATCACAACAAGATTTGGTTCTCTTGAAAACTGCAACTTTTCATTCTTTTCAGCACTAAAAACTGGAAACCCTTTTCTTTTTGTGTGCTGAAAACGTACTGGAACTTTTTTTTACATAACATCTTAATTGTGGATTTTCTAGGTGATTATAGAGGACATGCATGTTTTTAGCTGTCAGTCACTGTCACTCTAATGCTCAATCCTATCTGCGAGAATTTTTTTTTTTGAATTAATATTTGTTTTATAAAAAAATTGTTTTGAATTTTATGCATATATGTATAATTTAATTCAAACGTTTTTTTCTAAAAACAAATATTAACATGAGGCAAAGATATAATGAAAGAGTTAAGGTTTAGGTGTAATAGAAATTAATAATCTAATAACTTGGGGGTGCAATTGAAGGGGGTGGGGGGTGTGTTCGGATCGGGGTGGGGCGGGAGATTAGGAGAACAAGAACTGTCAATTTTACGAACGGAGCACTAAAGCATTCCCGGGTCATCCCATAACATTGGCATGAGGCAAAGATATAATTGAAAGACTTAAGGTTTAGGTGTAATAGAAATTAATAATCTAATAATCTCTCTGTCTCATAATGATGTCACACTCCGAATAATGTGCAAAATCTCATCACTTTTAAAATCATTTTAATTATAAATTAATATTGAAATAAAAAGTACTCCGTATAAATTACTCAATTCAAAAGTACATTCAAATTCTATATAACAAGAGGTATCATAAATATTTTAATATATCAAGTTATCAATGAACACATACAAACAAAAGAAAGCTATCAAAAACCCATAATAGTGATAGTGATATCTATTTTGGGATGAAAGGAGTATAATTTTATGTTACAATTACTTGTATGTTATAAATATAAAGTCTCATACAAATCGTTATCCATCTTAAATTATTTATTGATGAATGATACTAAGAGAGTGTAAAATGAATGTTGTACCTTCACTTTACAGATTCTGTTAACATTGATAATATCTCGGGTTAACGGATGACACTTTTTATTTGGAGCATCTCTGATGTTACACTTCCCTAAACCCCCACTACACCCCGCCACAGCCTTCCTCCTCATCCCCACATTTCCCCCTCCAAATGTGTTGTTATTATGCATTGCATAATAGACACACATTTGGAGGAGAAAATATGGACTAAAGAGAGCGCAAAGGTTTTATTTAAAAATGAGGTTGAAGGGATAAAAAAGACCAATTTTATGAACGAAATACCGGAAGTGTTCGAAATAGGTGAGCGTCATCTCTTGACACTATGTATTATTCGTTTGTAAAAATGGATACATGTTACTCCGTATTTCTTTAATTATCAAAATTTATTTGTACTTGTGAGTATTTACTTGTAAATAATGTAATGTCTCAAATTTAAATAAAGAAATCATCCTAAATAAGATTAAAACATTGAAAAGTATCAAAATAAGAGTCCAATGTTTTTATTTTCTAAATAAGAGTTTGCATTGTGTAAATGTGGCACTGTACATGCGTATTTCACATAATATATATGATCATAAATGGTAATGTAAATGCATATTAAATCTTATTTTGGGAATAAAAATATGGAACGAACTCTTATTTCGGAATATTTTCAATTTTTACTCTTACTATCTACAATGTAGATAACTATACTAACTTTAATTCCTTAGATGGACAAAATTTTGTTTTATTATCAAAATTTATTCGTATTTGTGTTTATTTGTGCCAAACTAAATCAAGAAAATTAATTTGGAATGCGTCATTGAAAGTGTAAGAAGAGATTAAAACTCTTCTTGTAGACCTAAATGGCTAGATGCATCATTGAAGCACACAAAAAATAAGAAGAGATTAAAACTTTAGAAAGTGTATATAGTTGAGGAAAATGAACAAAAAGTTTGCCTATTAAAAAAGTATTATGACCATTTAAAAATATTTGAGCAGTAATCAATCTAATGACATTATTAAAAAATAGAGTGACATTTTTTAAAAAACATAATACTTGAATGACAATTTTTTATGAAACTTCAATAACATTATTGAAAGAAAATAATAGGCACTGATGACATCTTTTACAAAAATAAATAGTTTAATGGCATTCTTGGTACAACACTCTTTTACAAGTTTTACAACTCACCACCTTATATTAATAAATGTATTGTCAAATGTATATTAGCAAATGTATTAATAATTGAAACTCACCACCTTTTGGATTTATTACACTTCCAAATTTAATATTATTAAAATTTTGAATTTTTTATCCTCCTCTACAAGTCTACACTTATCACCCTAGCTATTACTTCTTCCGTCCCAAAATTAAAATATGTTCCTATTTTGAGTTTTAGAAAATCTAAGAAAATAATACTACCTCCGTCCCAAAAAGATTTACACGTTTTGACTAAAGTTGAAATTAAGGGAGGGATAATTTTGTGTTGACTTTCCAAAAATACCCTTGATGTGATGGGTAAAAGTAGGATGTGACGTGTAGATTATTAGGAAAAAAGTATGATGAGATAGGTAGGGTTTGAAAAAGTAAGGGGTAAAAGTGGTTTTTTAATAAAAATGGGTAGGAGATTGTGGGACGTAATTTTTTTGAAAGGTGTAAATCTTTTTGGGATGGAGGGAGTATTTTTGTACTCCCTCCGTCCTATAATGTTCTTCCCGGTTCATTTTACGAGGTTTGACCGACTTTATTTTCAATTCAATTTATTTGATTGTAGGTATAAAATTAAAAAATAAAATTTATATACTTAAAAACTACATCAAAAGTTCTACAAAACAAGTGGTGACAAAACTATATTATTTTATCAAATACCCAATGAAAATAGATAAAGAAAATGATTAAAGTTTGACCGGGTAAAAAGTGAGTGGGAAGAACATTTTAGGACGGGGGGAGTATTAACTTTCCAAAAATACCAGTGATGTGATGGGTAAAAGTAAAATTTGATATGATGTGTACATTATTAGTAAAAAATGTATGATGTGATAAATCTATTAAAAATTAGTATGAGTAAAAGTAGTTTTTTTAATAAAAATGAAAAAAGAAAGGTAAAAGAGTTTGTGAGACAAGTAAAAAAGAAAGGTAAAAGAGTTTTTGAGATAGAGAGAATACATCATATCTAAAACTCACCACCTTATTTTAATAATTGTACTTTCAAATGTACATTTAGAAAGAAACTACAGAGTAATTATACAATTTTCTAAAACTTCATAAAATTTTCTTTGTCAATAATGGAGAGGGGAAATACTTCCTCCGTCTTTAAACATTCTTCTCGTTTTATTTTATGAATGTTGACTGAAATTATTTCTAATTAAACTTATTTAATTATAGGCGTAAAATTAAAAAAATTTAAATAATAAAAGACATGATTATATTATTTTATCAACTAACTTACAAAATAAATAAAGGAATTATTGTTTGACTATATATGAATAGTACTTCATTCGTCCCAAAAAGATTATATCTCACGTCACAATTTAAAAATTATAAAGACTTTTATTTAATTTACACGTTTTCATTGATTATTTGATAAAATAAAATATTCTTATAACTTCTTGTTTTGTAAAATCACGTTTAGCATAATGTTACAATCTTTTTTGGGACGAGAGGAGTAATTGTAAAATAAAATATTCCCTTCGTCCCCAATTTAAATCGTCTGTTTCGTTTACGATGTTTGACTGAAATTATTTTCAAATCATTTTATATGAAAAATGATGTAGCATTAAAACTTCATTGCATATTTTAAAACTATATCAAAAAAATCTATAAATTTATTAGTAGATGACTATATTTTTTTATCAAATGACTAGCGAAAATAAAGAAAAAAATAAATAAAATTTAACTTTGTGAATAATAAATAAATAATTTAATTTGGGAGGGCAAAATTATGAAGGAGACGTAACACACTTAAGATGGAGGGATATTGAATGACTCGAGAGTAATTGGATCTAGTTTGTGGGGCATAGGGAACGCACCACATCCCATGCATCATATCTCATCATTTATTTAAGGCCGATGACCCTAGCTTGTTTGAGCTCACACACACACACACACACATATATATATATATATATCACGCCGCTCAGCTCCGATCATTTCAGTTCCCAAACTGATCGAGTCACATAGTGAAAAATTAATTCATGACAAAGGGAAAAAAAAGAGAGAGAAATGGGATCGAGAAATAATAGTGATGATGAGGTGGTGGTGGTGGTGGGAAAGGGGTTGTCGGCGCTGGTGGTGGACGACGACCCGGTGGCTCAGATGATACACAAGGTGTTGCTGGACCGGTACGGCCTGCGGACGCAGGTGGCGAAGAACGGGGAGGAGGCCGTCGTGCTCTGCCGCTCCGGCGCCCGTTTCGATTTGGTCCTCATGGACAAGGAGATGCCCGTCATGGATGGCGTTCTTGTCAGTAGTTCCTTTACTGCTCTCTTTATTCCATCTCTTTTTTCATTGATGATTATTATTTGTTTATTCTTTATTTTGCCTCCGAGAGTCCAAAGCAATAACTTTTTCATTCATTCATATTTTCACATTTTAAAGTAAGTAATCACCTTAAACAAGTGCAATAGATTTTATATATATATATATATATATATATATATCATCCAAACAGGAATAACATATGTTATCTCAAACTGGTAATTTACATTGTTATACAGAGTATATTCACATCATTATGCTCTTTCCGTCTCACAATTTTTTTTCATTTTTTCATTCGTGTCAAAAACTTTCTCATTTTTATTAAAAATTACTTTAACTCATATTATTTCTTGACCTAATTATCACATCACACTCTTTTACTTTTAATTTACTAATCACATCCAAAAAATATACTCCATATTTTTTTTAAATTCTTTAAAAGTCAAAATTAGAAAAATTTTGTAGAACGAAGAGAGTATGTTGATATTATTGACATTGTAATTTTTTACTTTAAGAATAATTAATAGAGTTCCTATATTGATATTCTTTTACTTCCTCAATCCTTAAAAGATTGCAAAAATTTAATTTTTTTGGTTAAAATGTGGCATCCTTTGACAATGATAATAGAAAAAGTATATTTAGTTATAATATAAATTTAGTAAAATTGGGTTTATTCCAAAATATACTTTTAAAAATATCAAATTTTTATAATTTTTAATTATTTTAAGCTATATTTAGTTCATGCTTAAAGGATGTCACAATTTGACTAAAAAGTCAAATTGTGATAATGTTTTAGGGACGAAGTATATTTTATTTTACGTTAGTCTTTTGCTCATTATGGTTCCCCGTGGGTTTTTCTTCTTTCTTTTTACGTACACTCAAAATACAAATTTTTTTTAAAAAACTTTTTGTAATCCGATTTTATGGGTTATGAAATGAAATACGAGTACAAGCATTAATTGAAAGCTTAATAAAACTCATATGGGCGTGGGTTCACGGTACTACTCCCTCCGTTCCTAAATAAAGTTTCTCTTTCATTTTTTTTTGTCCCTAAATAAACTTCTCTTTTCCTTTAAAAAACCCTTTTTACCCCTTATTTTTTCATACCCTACCTATCACATCATACCTTTTTACTAATAATCTACCTATCACATCTTACTTTTACACATCACATCAAGGGTATTTTTGGAAAGTCAACACAAAAATATCCCTCCCTTAAATCCTCAAAAAGTCAAAAATGAAACTTTATTTAGGGACGGAGGGAGTATATCATAGGACAGAGGCTGTATAATGCTACCGGAGTATTAAAATTGATTGTCTCAATTTTCTCAATCAAGCGATAGCGATTACTCGACTTCAGTGATAGCCATCATTTTTATCACGCCAAATTTTATATTATACTCCTTTCGTCCCATAAAGTGTTATCCATTTTGACTAAAGTTGAAATTAAGGAAGAGATAATTTTGTGTTGACTTTCTAAAAATACCCTTGATGTGATGAGTAAAAGTATGATGTGATGTGTAGATTATTAGAAAAAAAGTATGATGTGATAGGTAGGGTTTGAAAAAGTAAGGGGTAAAAGTGGTTTTTTAATAGAAATGGGTAAGGGATTGTGAGACACAATTTTTTTGAAACGTGTAAATCTTTTTGGGACGGAGGGAGTATATTAATATCTATTTATAGTCATTTTGGAAATGAGAATTTTACCTAAATAGGACTAAAATATAACGACTTTTCCAATATATATAGGACCATATGTTTTTATTTTCCAATGTAGGACTTTTGGTCATTAACAAGTAGTCATTATTCAAGTAAATGTCTAGCATTACTGGACTTTATTCCTGCCACGAGGTCATTATTAAGTTTTATTTAAGAAATAAAAAAGTTTAAGTCCTACATTAGAAAAGTCATTATGTTTTAGTCCTATTTAGTGGAAATTTCACTTTGGATATTTGTTATTTTTCTGGCTATTTACGAAACACTCATATTTTCAAAGGTAGAACATTTTATAATTTCATATTGTCAAATATTAGAATAAAAAGGACTTATCATATTTGTGGAATAGTGATATGTTCAAGTCACATTGTGTAAATTAATTACCCATTTTATAATTCACCAATTTGATGCTCTCTCTTTACACTATGTTTATTATACTCTGTAGTTATTACTCTCCCTGTTCCAAAAGGACGCTCTTCCTTTATTTTTATGCATTTTATAAAATACTTCTATTCAAATTTATAATATCAAAAATTACCTCATTTCTCCTTTAGTATAGGTAAAACTTGGGGATTGATAAATGCACTCCAGTTTTGTTAAATGCACTCCACTCTTTTATATTTTTGTTGAAGTAGACATATGTATGACTATTTTCATATATAATTTCCACATTGCCCAAAAATGTATGACAGATTTCATAAATAATCTATTACATTAAAACACACTAGCCAAATATGAGCGTTAAATAAAGAACTTAAACGTCATAGGATGATGTTTTTGCATGTATGGGACACATGAATGAGGAGCCGCACGTATGAGAAGAAGTGGCTACGTGAATAACCTAAGTTTAATTAAATAATTAAAAGTAATTTAAAATAGTAGAATATAATAAAAGGTAGAATATAATAGAGGGTTTGCTTCGAAGATATATTGACACTATAAATAGCTAAATTCGTATAAAAAATTAATGAGTACTATATGCATAATATTGAGTTACTTAGAGTGCTACATAAGGTGATTTCTTGATAAACTATTAAATAGTGTAGAACAAAATATGGCTATAATGACACATTAATCAAAAGTTTTTTGCCAAAATAGGAAATGAGAAAAAAGAATTTGGACAATCCAAAAAAAGTGAAAAAGAAATTTTTGGACAACTTCAATAGCTCAAATATTAAGATATGTTATACGAAAAAGAGTATTTTGTACATTTTCTGTCTTAGAACTATCATCTCGTTTTGAACTATAATTAAAATTTTATCTCTTTTAAAATAATTTTATTTATAAATTAGTATAAAATAAAAATATATTAATTATAATTTTCAAAAATATATCAATATTTTTATAAAACAAAATGTGACAAGAGTATTTTATTTTATCAAACAGTTAATGATAACATGTAGATAATAAAAAATTATTGAGAGATTAAAATAGTAATTGAGACGATATTTTTGAAACAGGAGTATGTAACTTTGTAAATAGGGAGTATTTTTATTTCTCGTTCCTTTTTTGAAACGTCAAAAACTATCGTTATCTGAAACATGATTACATTTTTTAACGTAGGGAGTACCGGATAACTTTTTATTTTATAAAAAAAAGTTTTATTGTGATAGAGACAATTGTATTGTGTCATTTTTCAATCCAAAAGAAAAAATGGCGAGTTTAACAAAACTAGATTATTAAATTTATTAATAGCCAAAAAATATACATAATTCAAATATTCAAACACTGAATGATACTTTAATTTGAGAAAACAAATAAATGGATTGAACTAAAAAAAATACAAGATAGTTGTACTAAAACTCAATTAATTCCAGGGACAAATTTGTATACTACAACAAATACTCCGTATGTAAAAAAGGTGGAGTGCATTTAACAAGAGTGGAGTGTATTTATCAATTGCCGGAAAACTTGTTTTAAAGGTATTTAGAACATTATTTATGATGGGATAAAAGTGTTTTATGGGATGTTGAAAAACGAGAACATGAAATCTAGCTTTTAAGGACAAAAATAAAATATACTTTTTCGTCCCAGAGTATTTGTCCAGTTTGACTTTTTTAGTCAAATTGGACAAACTTTAATCTTCAGTTACACTCAATTTGTTTTGCATATTAATATAATGATATTCCATTTTGAAAATTCTAAACAAGCTAAATTTAATAAAGTTGTTTTTATACTAATATACATTGTAGTTTTTACTTAATTGAGATTCAAAATTCATCGAGTTTGACTTATTATTATTATTATTATTATTATTATTATTATTATTATTATTATTATTATTATTATTATTATTATTATTATTATAAAGAATGTAAGTTTCTTGTGCATTATGAAGGCTACTCGGGAGCTACGGGAGATGGGTGTGGAGAGCACGATAGTGGGCGTGACATCTCATGGGCCTGAAGCAGATATGGGTGCGTTTATGGGGGCTGGTCTCAATGATTGTTTCGCTAAGCCCTTGACTCCTGAAATTGTTTATCGCATTGTTAACTTGCTTGCCATCTAATTACTAAAGGTCTTCCAATAATCATTAATCTATTCATGTATTTTGGCATTGTTTTAGTGCTCAGATCCACCCCTAAATGAGAACTTGATGATGTTCACCGTTGTACACCTCGGAACAAAAAAAAAAGAGAGCTAATATTACATATGATTTGGAGTTTCCATTTTCTTAAATGTTCTTGATTACTTGTATTGGGATCGAATTGTATTGAGTTAGGCTAAGCTCCACCATTGGTCCTTCAACTTTATCAATTGTGCATGATTGGTCCTTCAAGTTTTGGTGTGTTAACAAAAATTTATACTGACACAAAATGTTTGTGCGTTAACAAAAATTAGCATTACATCAACACAAAATATTGGTGCATCCCTGCAGTGTACAAAATGATGTATAAATCCTTGGGGTACAAATAGCTTTACCCTTTAGAAATTAAAACCAAGCCTTAAGACACCCATTTTCTTCAACATATATAGGTAATAAATGTTGAGATGCAAACTCCATCTCACGTCCAAAGTAGAGAACAAAAATGACTTAAATGAATATGATTATCCTACGATTCCTACCTCATTAATATGAGGTTTTTTTGGAGATAACCAAAAAAATTGGTGAGGCTTTGCCTAAAATGGACAAAATCATATTAATGCACGGTTGGGGTAAGGGCACGCGTAGTCCCAACACATGGTATCGGAGCCCAGGTTCATGCGGGCAGGAGTGGCAGATTGCATTTTGCAAGCTTCTCGGTGTGCCCGGTGTGAGAACATGACCGAAGGTCTGCAGATCGTGCCTTGTATCGAGAGTCTTCCTGACAAGTGACTACTTGAGTCCTCACCATATTGAGAAGAGAAGAACAACATAGAAAAATCAATAGTTTTGGAATGAGAGAGGTTGATATGAGAGGTAGTGTAACACCTCAATCCGCGTAACTCGAACCAACGAGCTAGCGAATCGGGTTGCTACTAATTTGGTATTTACATGCATAATATTTTAAAATACATTTGAAAATAAAACATCAATTCACATATTTTTCAAAACAATTCATAATTAATCAGAGTAAATAAAACAAACATTACGGAAGCCTTTGAAAACAACATTCAACATTCTAGTAATTTAAGTAAATAAATTCAACAACTAAATTTAATTCTAATAAAACAGCATCAGGCTTTCCTCCGGCGTTACGTCTCACTGTCCTCCAGGCTGCTCCTCATCCAATCCTTGATCCCTATTTGTAAAAACAGGGAGAGTGGAAGTATCTAACGCTAGAACTAACTCATAGACTAACACCCATCAATATATAATCACACAATACCAGAAGAATGAGAAAATATCATTATTGAATATCATGATAAACTATTTATTTATCTATATTCAGTTCTTGTTGTTCTTCTACACTTAACCCGATAGGCTAAGGTTTCCTTTTGGCTAAATGAGTCATGCACACTCAGACAGATCCCCCGAGACCACGCCTGATAAACCCAGAGAGAATCATCAATGGGCGGGTTGGAGCCCCTACCAAGAAATCCCTAGGTAGCTAGGCTAATGACCCCCGTACGTAAGTTTTTACCCCAAGACCCGTGAGTTACGCGAAGCTCGCCCCACCAGGCCAAAATCCTAAATCTTAATCCTTATGAGTTCGATATAACTCAGACCTTCCTAGATATACCAGGTGACCTATTTCCATATTCCAATTCAACATATCATTGTCACCGAGTCCTTAGTTTGTAAATTTGGATTTAAAAATCAAGTTAAAAACAAAGAAGGGCTAAATTGCAAATTTCTTAGAAATCATGGGGTAAATTTCTAAATACTTAAACATATCCCTTTGGTTCCAATTTAGAACTCAATCCGTCATATCCAATCCGGCACATATAACTGTAGCGGGAAACTCCTCGGCGTCTCCTTGGCAGCGGCTAGATATGTCGGCGACCCTGCTAAAGCGCCGGTAGCGGAAGACCCAATTTGATAATGTGCCGTCAGCGGCTTCGTATGGGCACAACAGCGGAAACCAGTGGAAGTCCAGACCAGTGGTAGCCTCTCCCCCCGGCTGCAGTAGCCCCCGACTAAGCATAGCAGCAAACCGGTGACCAGTTCCGGCGAACGGCAGCAGCAGAGCAGAACGAAGAAAAAAAGAGAGCAGATAGAGGGATAGCCCGGAGAGAGAGGCCGGAATAGAAGGAGAAGAAGAACAATACGCATTGCAGAGTCCCGAGAACTAATTCCCAGAAATCCCAAATCCAGTTACAATATTAACACAATTATTCACACAATTCAACAACCATACCCCACGAATTCAACATCAAATGAACGAAAACATATCAACAAATCCTAAGAATCAATTCTCATTATAGATAATTCATTCACCTTGGTTAAGTCGATGAAGAACACCGCAGAATTCCGGCAAGGTTTACCTCTGGCGATGCTCCGGCAATTACTCCCTCTGACGCTGGCACCCGGCCTCTACAGTGTCGCCCGGGGAGGATACCTCGTGCCCCCTGCTTCATGGGCCTTCGAGGTACCCTCATCACCCTGGTTAACTCTTCGCACCTAGCTTCCGAAGGAAAACTTCACCCCGCTATGCGGATCGCCCTGTAGGAGTTTTAAGTCCGCTTCCAACTGGGGAGTACTGGCCGGTAGGGCGTACTAATGGTTTAACACGTGATCATTCCACTGCAAACTGGCTAACGGAAAATCAAATTCCGGGAAGTCAATGAAAACAAAATGATTTTTCTACCCCCGGTTACTTTGGGGAGATCGGAGATGAACACCCTATTTTGGTGAGATTTGAAGAAAACAAAACCCTCACACTCGGCCTTCCCAGAAGGATTTAGAACATAAGGACGAAGATGGGAAGAGATGGGTTTATTTGAAGGAATTCACAAATATTTACAAAGCGGTTTAATAATCGGTGGGCATTTGGGGTTATCTGCCCATGGAAAATAGAAAAGGGATGGCAGATCCCAACCAAAAGGGGGCGAAGAGGAAAAACTATGCCACCCTCAAACGATTTGATATGGAAAGCTACCCTAGTACCCCAGTGAGGGTCGACAATGTTGGGCCACTTGGGGTTATACTAGAGGATATAACCCTTGGGGAGCAATCGACGCGCTTTATTCAGAGCGACTTACGAAACAACTGAAGGAATATAATCTCCCCAACATTATCGGAAGGGATGGGAAAATAACATACCTCCCAGAGGCGGTGTTCCCATTCCTCTTGGGTCACTTGGTCAAGGTCAAAGGAACCCAGTTCTTAGCTGATAGGAGCGGGACTGGGAATCAGAAAAACCCTTGGGAACTGGACCCTCCCGGGAAGAAGACGAAGAATAAGAAGAATAAGAAGAAGAAGAAGGGATGGAATCCTCAGATGCAGATGCATACGAGGTAGCAGATACGTTTTGATTATCCTCAGAAGACATAACCGGTAATGAAAGACAAACGGGAACTTACTTGGAAGTTAGAAGACTCAAGGGTTGAGGAGGAAATTGACCACGTAGAATTCGAGAGCGGATTCGCGAAAAGTGAATTGAAGAAGGAAGGAGAAGCCTTTATATAGGCGAGGAGGAGGAGGATAAAGCGACGCGTGGCAGGCGAAGGAAGCGACACATCAGCCGGCGCATGTGTGGCACATGTGAAGGCGAAAGGGCATGCTTAGAATGCAATGATGGTGTACGGGAAAGAGCGAGACATGTGTCAAGTCGTTAATTTTTGAATTTCAAATTCAAAAATTTGGGCAGGAAAAGCTTAAAATTCAAATTTCAAGTGCGAGATTCCAATTTTTTCACTTCCCGCCTTTGATAAATTTACAAGGTTGAGAAGTGGAGGATTTATTGATGACTGTATTCCACTCAGGACCCGGTCCGAATTCGAGTCTATAATAGTTAACTGGTTAGATTCAAATATATCAGAATGGAAGATTTAAACTAAAATATAGATGACCGGTCGGTTTCGAAAAGCAGATCGATACAAAATGTAAACCTACCGTTCAAAGTACGTGACTTCATGCTAGTGGTCTTTTGCCCTTTCAGAATGCATGGTCGGTAAACTTATCGGGTAGGTTATTATGGCGTGAAAGTGTCGGCACGAATAGTTCCAAAGTCGGTTGGACGGTAGTGATCAATTTCGACGGAAGATTGCGAGAATATTCCAACATCTGCAGTTGGGCACTACGCGCCAAAGGAGGTATCATCAACACAAGATGACAAGGGAATAGGACAAAACGCTCCGGGACAAGAGGAAGTCACCTCACGCCGTATGAGAACGTGGGCTGATGTGGACGATTAGCGCTCTGTCCTCTTCATTTCCTTATAAATACCTTTGTAACCTTCAAATGAAGGGATTCAAACTTTATCTCTCTAGAATATATTGTGTAACACCTCCCAGTACTCTCCTACTAAAGAACAATTGGACTACAGATGTTTTCACCTACAGTCATACCGGTCATTCTCTGGTTTCCTACATTTTTCTTTCTGTGAACTCAACAAACAATCCTAGATCTGGTCTAGTACAGTTTGCCTGGGTGATTAATTTACACCATCATCCATGATTACAGACCCTTGGCGTACATGTGTCCTTTCCATGTTGAGAAGCGTAAAACAACATAGAAAATAAATAAAAAATAAGTATATGAAATAATAATTAATAATAATAATGTGCATGGTGTCCACTAAATATATGAATAAGGGAAATGATATTTGGCACTCTAATCTTTGATATTGGCATTCTAAATTGTACTCCCTCCGTCCCAAAAAGTCTTTCCTGTTTTATTTTTTGCGCATTTCATAAAACACTTCTAACGACACCTAAAATGCCTAAAATTTACAAAATTTCTTCTTTATTATGAGTAGAAGTTATTTTGAAAGTTTTTTTGACATTCAAGACGGGATAGAAGTGTTTTATGGGATGCGCAGAAAATGAAACAAGAAAAACTTTTTGGGACGGAGGGAGTACTATTTACTTTCTCACATTAATAATATATTTTTGAGTGTCTTTACCAAAAATTAGAGTGTAAATATCATTTACTCGAATAATAGTA